TTTTATTCACGGTAACGTGAACGCGCTATCTTGCGAATAATAAATGAAACTGAATAAACGATCGAGGCTCGAGTGTGCCCTACATTGTACGGTAATTAGTTGATCGTCGATTAATAATACCCGTGTGTACTTAATACGCGTTGTTCCCTAAGTAATCGCGTATCAATGTCGATTTATTTCGACGCGAGGGATCGAGACGAACAGATCGTTTGACACGACGGTTGGTCCGCAAAGGCCAATGATCTCTGCACATTTACTCGCAGCTACGCTGCACTACTTGCACGTTACGTGTACCTTTTTAGATACCAGGCTCCGGTTTATGCAACAAATCGCAATTCAACCGACCGTGCGCCCGTTTATCTCGAGTAGTACCTCTTACAGCTGATTTTCCTTATTGACTAGACTCGCGTATACGATTTCAATGAGGATAATAGCCGCGGCATAATAATGACTCGATACGTACGTTGAACTATGTTGCAATAATTAACTCATTGTCTGGCGTCAGTTTTTCATGTCTGGAGATGACTTCGACATCTGTTTAAATTATACTGTGATAAATATAAATGGCGCAGATACAGTGGTTCTTACTCTGTGATCCCTGGATAAATCGGATGGAACCTGAACTACTTTCGGTTCTTGTAAAACGAACACTGTTCAACTGAAAGTAAAACCAGATTTGTCAGCCTTGACCGTGGCTCGCGGTTAAGTTTAAAGAATTCTTTATCAATTTAAATTTGGAAATAAACTGGCGTGAAACAGTGGATACGAAAATAATTAAAACGAATCTCGCTTGCCGTTGAAAACATTCTAGTATCTAATGATATTAAATTAATATTTATATTTATTTTACACGTTTATTGGAAAATATTTCGTTAATGAATTATCACCAACTATAGCTGCTCGTGTACCAGAAAACCTTGTTCCGGAGTAACAAGAACATTTCGAACGGCTCGAAAAGATTTTAAGTGGCTTTGATCACGGGAAAAGAAAGTTCAAACATATTTGTCAAGTTTGAACGGTATTCGAATGACCGATAATTTCGACCTAGAAATCGAGTTTGTCCCAGTTTGGATTTCGAAGTAGTTGAATATTGAGTAATCGAACAATTCTATCCTAAACTGATACGATAAGGTCAAAGTGATTCGTAGTGTTTCATCAGCATGACAAATTTGCTTAGTTACATAAGGTGATTGTACAAACTAGGACAAACAGAAATAATGAAGATATTAGAATGTGCAAGATAAAACAAACATTCCGTATGCGCGTGCCACGCTTGTCAGTTGTGAAAATTATTTTAATTTGATATATGTGGTGCTACTATATTAAGACCTGCCATAGTAACTGACTACAAGAAAGTGCAATGCGACCAAATATATCCGAGTGAAGTGCCACTGACATCCTAGGCGCCATTTGAGCATTCCATTCTACGTCACGGTACATTCACCACACGAACAACTTGAATGAAAACGAAATTGTGGATTAAATATATATTAACCGTCTGAATTATAATGGGTCGATTAAACGACCGATTTAATCTGGATGTAATCACCTGCGCTGTTCCGGCCGTCGAAGAATTTTTATTAAAAATGACTACCACCTAGAAAGCATTAAACATGCTGGGGAGTATTGTAGCAAATGCACAGAGCTCCATCCGGTGTCTGCTAGAATATTAATGAGTCATCGATTCATAATCACAGCTCCGCAAGGCGTGTCAGCGTCGAACAGCCTTCGATTCTAAAGTGAATATAATCTACTGCACAATGTATATTATTTCGTGTAAATTGTGCTGACATCCGGAGTAAAGAATATTCCTGGTCGAGCTCGCTTTCCGAGAGAACGTTTAATAACGCAAAAACGTTAAAGCAAATATTTTTCGCGAGCTTTCTAGATACTGGCGAAAGTGTAACAGCAGTTGTGTTATCGGAAATGTTTGATACGATGCTAAAAAATCTTGATAAGTCGAGCGGAAGATTGATGCAAGAGGCACGTGTTTTCGACTTAGTTATTTGAAATGTTCTAAAGGATCCCAGCAGATTGTTGTAAAAAGAAAAGCGGAGGTTGATTTCGTGCTGCGAATTATCGTGAATTACATCAAACTCCGCTATGACGTCGCGTGCAATGGCACGACAGACAGGAATAGCAATTAATGTGGAGAACGTGCTGTCTATTTTACAACAATCTAATCATATTAATCGCAAGAAATAACAGAAAAAAACCGACATTCGCCCAGGGTTCACTGGACGAACCAGTTGTTCCGTTTAACCTATCTAATAAAAAATTCGAGAGTAACGGGACGCTGCTCTCGAGCGTCCTTTTTCATCTAGGGCTAAAAGTCCATGCGAACGAAACGGGATCCTGGTCACGCTGCTCCTCAAAAATAGAGGACAGCCGTGTTTTGTTACGCATTCTTCAAGTTCCATTACAACCTTAGCCACCGATACATTCCTTTTCGAGCGGGTTGCAACGCCGTTGCAACTGTTCTAGGTAGTAACTTCTAACTGTACAAGCTGCAAGAACTAAAGCTGGGTTCTGGTTTTATAGAACGAACCATAGACTTTACGATTAATTATATCTACTAAAAATTTCGGATCTTAAAACCACACCTTTAATCCTTATTTTGGCAACCGAGGTATATGGACACTTTGAGCATAGTTTTTCCATACATCAAATTTAGATTGATAGTTTCCATACTTTCCCAAAACTTTTAATTTTCCATTTATATAACTCAGCCAATTCTGTGAATATACAATAAATAGTATAGTATTTATTCCTGTTTTTTGTCAGTATTGGTAGCAAATTAGAATTAAACATTGAGAAACGAGGTCGATACATTGCTCGGACGATATTTAATGAGTTATACGCAGTTTTTTGTATCACGCCGCTATTGGAGGATCGCGAAGAATTATTGCAAGTCATTCCTTTCTTTTTATGGCAATCTTACGATTACTAAATTGTTACACGCAGAAATGTGTAATATAAGGGCGTATTCTTGCCGAAACAAAAGATACTTCTGCCTACGTGTTATCATTATTATTTTTTAGTGGGTCAGTAAATACACACAGATAACTGCAAAATATTACACACATCTTTTTTATATAATCGTAAGATGATAAATTACGCGTACGTTGACGATCATTGAATTAGCAGATGATACGACGGAGAGATTGAACGAAGTGAGTTTCAAGTACAGTATACAATTAAATTCCCTCCCACGCGTTTCGGCATCGAATTACATTGTCTGTGATCGATAACGTTTCAAGCATTGCAAGTGGTCCTAAAATTAAATTACTACGACGCTCTTACGCAGAAAAAGAGATTGATCGTACAGATTGATCGTATACATTTGTGCAAAGGAAAAATTTAATTTGCGTACGCACTGTGTTTTATCGAAAAAATTTACATGCGTACTCAAATCTCATTTTTACCCTCGCTTACGTAGCGCAAAATAGAAGAAAAAATGAACGTGAATTAGATATATTATGCAATACTACTTAAAAATAGTTAAATGCGAAGATATAATTTCAAGAAAGATAAGGATTATCTCTGTAGATAAGAATTATGACAAACGTAAAAATGCCATCGTCGTCGATTATTCATAATTAATCGTTTGAACTTTAATTTATTACGATGCTCTTTGCTAACCCCCAGAGAGCGAAAGGAAAGAAAATAAAGGTTTCGCTAAATATAATACTGACAAGAGGCGTTTTAAATGGCTCCATTTGAACCGCTCAACGGCCACAAAATCATACCGGTTGCTCGTTACCGCAGACCAATTTTCAAGGCGCAATTACTACCTTGCGAACAGCAAAAAAGGGTTTCGCGCCTTTGTAGTTTTCAAACATCGTGTAAATATGATTGTTTCGAACGATTCTAATAAATAATTTATAAAAAATTTCTACTCAAAAAATATTCTACTTCGTTGAAATTTAATTTATAAATTGCGCTGGTCTTCCTTTCTGTTAAAAGGATATCTACTTTCGAAATAACCATTACTCGACGACCGTAGTAAACACCGGCTACTCGCGCGGAACTAGTCCATGTTGCACTCGTATTTTCCCAACTGTTGCATTTGATGCAACCTATATAACGTAAATCGTCTCCCGATGCGCTCACCAGTGTTCTATTTCCAGCATATATATAAGTATACTTCATTGCGGTCAACATTTATCGTTTTACAAATTGCTTGCCAATCCACACGATTCGTTTAAGTTTTTAACGGTGATTATCTTATCACGATACAACGGCTTCACTATCGAGAACTGTACACCATAAGGCCGCCCAGCGAAACAGGGAACAGGTCTAATCAAGGACGAGAAGCACGTAGAATACGAATGCACTTACGATAAGTTAAACGTACTGTATATCTAATGCTATTTTTAATTTTCTTGTAACACTGTTTTTGATGCTGAATTCATCCCCCGTCTAAGAATAATATCGCACGAATCGATGAATCGGGAACCGAGTTTTCATTGCACTATTGACATTTAATCATTACGCACGACACACATATTGCATACAATACAGGTTATAAGACCAGATCTCCGGAGTCGTACATGTAAATTAATATAGCTCATAAAAGTACAATACAAGACTATGTGAAAGCGATTTAAACGGCGACATTTGTATCTATCCCACGCACGTATACCGTATAAGTTACGCACAGAGAACGCTCTAACAAGCGGTTACTCCGAATCATCGAATTATCACATTGCTCCTGGCCACTCCGGATTTCTTAATGCACCCTAACGCCACCATGTTTATCTGCGATTGAAAACGGGCTTGATTCACGGCGTTAGAATCTATGAAACGTCAATCCAGTCGGGGCATGTCAAACCTTAACCTTGACGATCATCGCAAATCAATCGCAAGGATACTTAATTAGAGCGTCCGAGATTCGACCTGATCGAAATTCGATCGATGCGCCCTCCTTTTCTGTGGTCAGAGGGCAAATAAGAAGGACGATTGCTCTAGATGAAAGGGAAATGAGATAAATTTCTCACCTGGTCGATCGGCAGGTCGATGGAATCCGCGAGCCAGGAAAAAATCCGCGAACCGTCGTAGTAGTCCTCCTCGAAGGCGGTCATTGTCAATGATTATAGAACGGAATAAATACACGCGTGCGCGAAACAACACCGTAATGTGTCGTGCCTCAGGAGCACGACACTAACGCACGGTCGAGAGGACACGGTTACGGCTACGCTTCGCTTGATTTCTCTCCCTCGATCGTTAGAACGCGATGAATTCACGCAACTAAGTACGACAACGACGACGGATCCTGAAATGCAGCGCCGCTACGTTCCGCGCCGGCTAACAGACCTGCCGGCACTCAGGGCCGTATCCACAAGTGGCATGATCAATTGCACGTGATGGAGACTGTTGATCTCCAACGCTGCGACGCGCGCGTCTAGCTATACCATTATGCTTGAAACTGTCTTGTCACAAGTGGCGTGATTTTATCGCCGGTAGCAATATTAATGAACGCAACAAAACGAAGAATAATCAGTTGTTATCCATAGAGCATGAAACGTTACAGAACTATTGCTGCCATATTCAAATGATGCAATTACATGTACAATATTACGGCAGTGTGCCTGTGCGATATTAAAACTTTCTAGCAATATTGTAAAGCAACTTTAGTGTACATATATTAATAACATATATTGTATAGTGTCTTCTATTTATATTAATATATATAAATTAACCTATTAATGAGGAACAGAGCACTGTGACACGCATAAAATTATATTATGTAAAATATACAGTCGTAGTTGTTCTTACCTATATCTCGATGGCATGACGTATTATTGCTTTTTTATGTTTTCGAGACCACAATAATGTGAATATTTCCACAAAGTTTCCATAATCCTTTCGCGATATTATTTGGCATGCAAAAACGTTATTATAACCTGCACGGGGGCGGCTGTATTTATGTTGCAGCAACATCCTAGAAATATGCCCAATCTTGTACAAAAATATTTTTCACACTATTTGCAATGTGCCGTAATGTATAGATACGTACTTTTTCATTTATATATATAGTTATTATACATATTACAACATATCGTGAAATCACAACAGGTAGTTGAATCAGTTTAACATGACTTCTATAACAAAAAGAAAGATTACTTTAATAAATTTTCTTTTTAAATAATAGATTTCTGCTATTTCAAACACTTACTGCTTGTTAGGTGCTGTGTATAAATGATGTTCTTGGATTTATAACGATTATAACAATGTTCGAAAAATGTTAATAACGTAATGGCAACCCTTATTTTTTGTTAAATATTTTAGCATATATAAATTATTATAATACTGATACATAAATATATTTACTTTGTATATTGCGATGTACTCAATATGAAATAAGATTTAGCGTCAACGCGATAATAGAGTAACGTGTTTGTATGATAACAAATTGAGTCATTTTGATTACCATGTATGTATATAGCAGATACATCGAAATTTGCATATATTAATTATTTCGTTAAGTGAACTTTAGTATGTATTAATATTGTATTAATAGATACTTTTGTATTTATATTTTTATATGATTACCTTTATTTTAATAATGCATGAATTGATGTTACTGAAAATCATTTTATAGATTATACCAGGAATACGTATCTAAAAATACAAAATCTTCGTATCTACGGTACCATCTACTCATTATTTCGAATGTACGAAAATCATTGCATACTAAACGTAAATAAATCAATCAGGTGAAAGACTATAATAGAATATATTTAAGCATAGTATTACGTCATCCGTAGAACATACTTTCACTATCAAATATCAGCCATATGTAAGTTGTACATACGATTTACGAACAGTACCATCTGGATACCATTAAATTTATCAATAGCTAACGAAATATTCATTACGATTCAAATGTATTTACTTATATTTCATAGTTTAGTATTTGATGGCATCACCGAATAAATTATCAAGTCTGTACATAGTTATTTAGTAATCAATAAGACTTCGTAGTTGGTAACTATGAATAGCGGTCTACGAAACACGTTTGCTTGTATGGTATAATTTTTTAGTGTATGCCCATGAAAAAACGGCTTCTATCATATCAATTGTAACTTATAACACTAGTAACGATCGGTGACGACCACGTGTGGGTTGAAAGTGTTAGTAAATTATCAGTCTAGAAAAATATTATTGTACAAACAATTTTCCAAAATTACAAGACATGTCCGACCTATTTAGCAGTAGCCCATCTTTTCAAGATGATAAGTCTAATAAAGAAGTGGACAATGAATTACAAGAATTTCTTATGGCTGAAAAGCAAAAAGCACAATTTCAAGCTCAGGTGATTTCTTAATTAAAAATTAAATTGTAAATAATTAGATGTTGATTAGCTAATAAATCTACTAAAATAATTTAGAACTTATTGTAAATTATGTAGAAGTTCAATTTTGTATTCAGTACACGTACATTGAATACTATTTTCAGGTTAAAATTTTTCAAATCAAAATGTACATTTGTGAAATAGTAAACACATAGAAGTTATATTATCAGTATCAATTCAAACCCGTAACAGTTTGTCCATACATTTTTAGATTCACGAATTCAATGACTTTTGTTGGGAAAAATGTGTGGATAAACCAGGAAGCAAATTGGACGGTCGGACAGAAACATGTTTGACCAATTGTGTTGATAGGTTTATAGATGTTTCACTTTTAATCACAAATCGTTTTGCACAACTCTTGCAAAAATCTGCAGAAAATATGTAAATTGTTATTCATAAATTATTTGTATTGTTAATGTAGAACATTGAAAATAAAATTATTTTTATGTGTTTATGTAACACAAAAACATTTAGTTTTTAAACTGCAAATGAAAATGTATTTAATATTAGACTAATAACAATTATCTGTTTTTTCAACAAAATTATTCTTCAAATTTATTTATACAAAAAATTCAATTTATATGTTACACTTTACAAAATGTACATCTGAACATATGTATAATTGTAAAATTTGTTTAATTCCTTTAAGAATTATATGAAAAACATAGTACATTATAACATTGATGTCACAGTAAATACATTCTTAATTCTGTGAATGTCTATGCATTTTAATATAATTATTTTAGATGTGCATAACAATTTAGCAATATAATAGTTATTGTAAACATAAATGCATTTGATTTTAGATGAACTAGAAATTCACAAAAAATTTTTCATATGTAAAAAATGTAAGAAAATAACTAATGATAAAATACCAAGACAGAATTGGAATGAATGTTTAATGTGTATCTAACATTAAATACTATATTCTCTTTAATTTGTTCCTAGGAAATTAAGAAAAGTGCATCTGGTTTACAATTTCTTTACACTACATAACATATGCATTGAAATAATAACAAATGTGTCTTGTCTCAAAAGTTTTTGGATAGCAACTTTTATACTGTAGTAATTATATAACAAGACACAGTAATTGAAGTTGCATATCCATTTGACATTGTTTTGCCTATGTAGCATTAAACTGTATACTACATTACTGTTGAACATCAATTGGCAATGAGTATTTCCAAACAGTATCAGCATGATTGTATACAATTTTTTTTAAAATCTGGTTTTATATGATCAGATACACACTGGTCTTTGAGGAAGACACATGTTGTAAAATGCATCTTTTTTCCAAAAATCTTTTGTTTTCCATCCACACCAACCTTTGTTTATTATTGTTGGTAAATGTTCTGGACCTGTATAATGTGGATCTAAAATAAAAAATTTAACATCCCCAGTAACTTGATCATAGTTGATCCCTAAAATTGTGTGAGCTAATACACCACCACCTAGAATATATTTAAAAATTAAATTTAACAAATATAGAAAGACACTTTACATAAAAACAGGAGAAAAGTTATGTACCAATCATTACTGGTGTACCCTGTGTTTGAAAATGATATAACAGATTAGTAGCTAATGTTGATACTTCTTCACCTGTAGATGCACAGAGTACTTTAACAGTGATACCTAACAGAGTTTCTAGTACAAAACCTACTTCTGTTGAACCAATCCACTGTTTACTATTAATGAAATTTGAAGGTTTATCTCCTATGTCAACCAAACATTTTTGTATTGTATAATGAGAAGGTATTGGTATTTTGGTATAACCTTGTAATCTATAAGAACCAAAATACTGTTACTCACAATTTCATGCGAAGTACTATAAATTAATTAACTATTTGAATATTGATATTACCGGTACCAAGAGATAATCGTTTGTAGAGACCTGTACGCGCATCCCCACCCATTATCATCAAAATTATCTTGCATATAATGATGATATGCATATAAACCTTGTACAATGCTAATTTTTCGAGTACTATTCACTACATCTGTTCAAAAATTTGTAATGTATAAAACAATATACAAATTGCTAAATTAATGTAATCCACAATATTAAATACATGCCATCGTTTTGTAAAATTGCTTCATGAGGATTTATAAGCATATTATCTGCTTGCGACTCATTATAAAATTTTACAGCGTTTCCATAGCGGAAATACGGTCTAGTCATATCTAAGTTTAAAATTTTATGTAAATCTTCACGGTATGGCACTGTAATTAAATTTAAATTAACCTTAGGTAAAAACCAATTTTGGATATTCTTCTGAATGCCACTCGTGGCCGATCTTCGCATTAAGGCTGGAAACAGACGAGCGATTTTTACTGTTGCGACATCGCAGCGATTCTATGTTTTTCCTTGTTTTGCAATTAAAACATAGCTCGACTGTTTCTAGCCTAATAGCCAGGCCTAACCTAATTTGATGTTTGACATCTATTCCTTCTGCCATCTAACCCCTTTCAATTTTATATTGAACTGCGCATACCATTCAGAAGAACAAAAATCCCCATTTTAAATATATGAACTTTTGCATTAATTATATAGAATAATGAGATATCATGAAAAATCTTACTTGTTTCTTTGTCAGTGTGATCACTTGGATAGACTACTGTAAGTAAATGTCCAAAACCTTGAGCTCTGAAGTGTATGGGTAGCGGCAATTTTATAGACTGTTCAGATTTTTTAAGCTGATCCTCAAAACATTTTTCTATTAACTTAATATTTCGACACATAGATTCTACCAATATCCCATATAAATCTGTCGAATTTGTATTGAGATTGACCAATGATAATGTGTCAATAGATAGATTGCACTCCAAACTGTCGAATGGTCCTAATTATGGATATTAAATTTTGAGTTTTATAATTTGTTAGTTAAATACATTAACACAGTAACTATAATTTCCTGACAATAAATATTATAATACATACGTTTTACATACTGGAATACCGGAGCATAATTATTATGTTCCTCAGAAAGTCTATCTCTGGATATTTTTAAAAGTATGTTAGCATTTACAGCATCCTGTTGAATTTAATAAAATAAATATCATTTTCAAGAAATTAGAGAAACACTGTATACAACAAAAAATATAAAAATATATACCACAACTCCTGCTGGCCGAATAATGCCTTTTTTTACATTTGTAGTTCCTTCATGATATACAGAAATGTCTAAGAGTTCCCTCAAAGATGTATCTTTTAAGTTAGTATCATTATTGAAAAGAAATGCATTTTTTGATGGAAACTGAAATCCTATTTTTCCTGATGCTATCTGCTAAGAAAGAATTACTTGCTACATAATGAATTTAATGTTAGGTTCACGATGTTCATGATAGAATATAAATAACTTACATTTTTTCTAGTTTCTTCTAATACATCCATTATGTTACCATTTTGAGCAATTAAAGGTAAGCTTCCTCTTATTCTAATGTACATAAATTCTTGACGAATGTCATTTTCATTAATGGTTTTTACATCATTAATAGCTTCAAGTTTTTGATGAATATAAAAATATGTTTCTATCTTTAAATTCTGGTGTGAATATTTCAGAAGTAATGGATTATCTGTGATGTCGATATCCTAAATAATTTTAAATATATAAACTTCATATTGTTTTTCTTGTCAGTATAAGAAGACTTGTAATAATCTTACTTGAAATGTATCTGGAAGCTTTTCTTCACATTCACCAACATGCAAAATACCACAGAGATATACTTCTGCTGGCATGTGTAATTGCAATGTTGTATGATTTACAGTGGCTTCAATGTCATCCAATATATTTATACTGAATGTTAATACTGTTAAGGTATTATTGTACATGACACCATACAGGTGACCTGCCACACTATCCTTTACATTTTTCAATCGCTAAAAAATTATACATGTTTAAAGTTATTGTAATTTCCAGCACTACGCAAACGATTTGTTTAAAAAATATAGTAAGTTTAAACATGTATAATAATTACCTCTACAACGTTAGATAAAATTCGCAATTGCGGTGCCATTTTAGCAATCTGTTTATAAATAATGTTTTTACATAAATTTATTCACGATCAAATGTACTCGATCGCCATATGGTAAGGATTAATTCAAAAAGCACATTACAACAAAGTCATCTATGCGAAAACTATGCGAAACACACCAAGTATTTGAGTGCACATGTATGCATACACAAGTGTTGTATATATAGATGACAATTTAGTTTTGTTTGACACATTTACAAAATGACGATGAGGATCATTCTAAGTCGAGAATAATAAAAAACATAGAATGACGTTCTCAACCTTATCAGTCAATTTTAGAACACATCCACCTGTCAGATCTTTTTACTAGAACCCGATAGTAATATTGTAATGTTGGTATTACAAAAGTTACTAGTGCTCTGTCGTGGATTAACTTCAAGTTCTTGTTTCTCGTAGATCAAGATGTTCTTCACTCGGGTCGTGTGTAGCAAAATGGCCGCTCGACCAAAGTGAGTGTGACGTTTCGCGAGGTGATTATATTGTTGTTACGTGTGGTTTCTATGAATATTTGTTCATGTGACATAGTGGTATTGTGCTTCCTGTGTTTATCCGCAGGCCCGCCAAGAAAATTCGTGTATACGACAAGGTGAGTACCACATTTTCCGACGTATTCGCGCGCAGGATAAAATTGTTGCGGTACTGTTACACGTTAAAACAGTTCCAGTCTTGTTCTCCTAAGATATTCTTTCTTCAAATACACCATGAAATGACAGAAACACGATCATTCCACCGAATGAACACAATTGTCTTTTGAATTGTGCGAATGGTTAAATTCGATAGGAGATTAGATTTAAAGTTGTTACTCTCTCTTTTGAGTTAAAAGTGGGCGTTATTTAAATGACACTGGCAGTTGCATTCTAAGAGCACCGAATGACAGAGAAATAATCGGTTTCATTGCGTTTCCTACTATTCCATATTGGCAGTCGGTGACATTATCGCGCCTCACTTTTTGGCACGTAGAGCTCCGCAAAAAGTATCACATGTATGCACAGAACCTATCTCCTATCCGATACAAGAGGATTGTCGAGGCTACAGGATGTCTAGGAACTGGCTCTCAATTATGACTTTCAACAATTCGGACGATCGCGATTTAGGAAAATAACAAAAGTTTTTCTTTTCATTTAGATCTTGTTATTTGTTTTCGTACCGCCGTTAGACCAAATATCTTTTCGCAGATTACATTATGCAATGTACGTAGACCTTTATTACCAATCATCAAGACTGAGCGAAAGGATTCGTTACTTCAAACTTAGCGTATATGTATAAACGTCAAACACGCTACGTAAGTTATAGTTATGTAATGCACTATATTAATACGGTAATAACGTTGGCATTTAATTCTCAGGTATATTTCATAAGTATAAATAATATTTCAGGGTAAAGTAGTAAACGCAGCGAAACGGAAACTAGTATGGTCGAGCCGAGTACGAAATCGTTGCATTGTATTCGAGGCCCAAAGGAAAAAGATGACTCCTGTCACATCAATCGTTCGTCGAATTATCTAAACGTTTTCAAAGCCATTTCATCGATACGTTCGACGCAGGCCGTCGGTGAGCAATAATCGAGGCGCGTCGAGACACACACGTGCCCTTTGCATTTCAATTTTCCCGCCACAGTTTTTCTATCCTTCGGTTCGCCTTTTTCGGCCTATCTCCGCGTACTCGGTGGAATATTTTCTACCCACGTGAAAAGAACAGAGGACACAGAGACGAGACCTCGCGCGAATGATTAATACGCTTCCGAGGCGAAGCGAAATAGCTCATGCGAACTCGAGCAATTAGCAATTGGCTAATTATACGGTTAACGAACGGTACAAGGCATCCACGTCGAATAATTCAGTCACAATGCATAATTGCACGCTGTAAATGGGCCGCTCTTCCTCCCTGAATATTTTTCCACGTGTGCCGCGCGAACGGAACCGCGTACTGGATGAAAAACGTAGTCGACGGTTTGAGTCTTCTCGTTGCGGATTTGCGGCCGAACCAACGATTCTCTCACGCGTCTTTCTTACCTAATTAATTCGGCCTTAAGCAGAGCTCTGAAGCAGAGTGAGAGGGAACGACCGCAACCTTGCGCTGAATGTTACAAGACGCTTGCGCGCCCAATGATCAAACGTCATCGTCGCTCTCACTATTCCCTATCGCAAAGAATAATATTGGAGGCGAGTACCCTTTAACCCTCGTACAGAGAATTCATTTTTACCCAGGCAAAGCTGTTCCCCTATTCTTCGTTCAAGTTCGATCCGTTGTTTACTCGAAGGAGATGGAAAATACAGAAATATCTTCAACTTATCTTACCACCCTTATTTAATCACCCCTTCGTCAGTTGTACTACGAATAAAACACTCTGCGATCGTTGACGTTATTGTCAACGTAGAATGTAATCAGACTAACTGTTCAATTGAAGTTATATTGCATATAGCTCTTATCATATGATAATGGTATAATCAACGAAATTTACTTAATTTGCATCGCAGATATCGTTCCAGTTTTCGTATTTAATTATGATAGTGTACGAATGTTTTGTAAACATCTAATAGCAAGCAAGCACGAAAGTGATGAACTAATTACATTTCAGCCTACACCGGTGTCCCAGATATTGAAGAAAGTTTTTTCTTTACTTTTCTAAATACATTTATCGCTTACAAATAACACACAGTAAATTATATATAAATTTACTTAAGTCAGTTGAATATGTTATTACGATACAAATTTCGTTTCGTGTTTGACTATAGAAGACGCTGCATTCGATCAGAGGAATATAAACGTTACCAACGCGCAAAATGTAAAGTAAACATCTATATTATCTTTCACGTTATACTGGTTTATTGCTTTATCTACACGGTTAATACCCAAGGCAGCTTTATCTGTTCCGTTGCAAATATTCAAATTTTTTTTAACGTACGTTAATTCCTATATTGCTTTGCCCGATAAATGATACTGAAATGTTGTTTGTTGCCTCCATCGTAGGCTGCAACTATTTTCGCTTTGTTCGGTATTTTAATTAGCAATTGAGCGTCTCTGTGAAACGCTAGGTCTCGTCTATAGTTAGTCTCATTAAATTCGTTACGACACGCTCGCATCCCACTCTTCGTTACTATTTAAAAACGCGTTAGTCAGCGGCCGCAATTTTTTGAAATTTCTAAAAAGGAATTCCGCGGAGCTGCGGAACGACTCGAAGGAGGGCGAGTATCGTTTGCAAGATTTATCGCGTGTGACGAGATTGATGATTTCTCCGTGGAAGAATTCTACAACTTTGATCGAGTGCTCCTCTTCGAGCAGTTGGACGTTAAACCGATGAACTTTTATTTAGATTTAATAACAGTTGTTACGGCAGTAGATGGCTTCTTTTATGAATATTATTACTGCTATGTTTATTTCGTCTTTTGTTATTATTATACTCGCTCGACTATTCAGATAAAATTGATCCAGATTGGATTAAGATTTTGACGATTTCTTGAACGGGTTTATACATCATTGTAATATGTGGTTGTTAATAATAATAATAACAGGTTCGCTTTTATTACTGTTTCAGAGGGTCATATACCCGGAGGATGGACAATCAATTTGAAGTATAGGTAATATCTCAAGTATTTCGTAGGATAATAAATTCTTCTATATTCAGGAGAGTGATGATTCTACTTGAATAAATAAATCAAGAACGTAGAATAAAATGTTTTTCTATGAGGTCTTTTTGAGATAATTGAATTTGAAAATTGATCGGATACGCGTGCTATTGAATACGATTTTTCAAGCGCGTTTGTCCATTACTTGCTATTTCCACATATGCCGCTGACCAGCCGTATTTTATTGCACGCGTATCCGATGAATTTTCCAAGTAAATCTTCTCGAAAACAAAGCATCGTACGAAATAATTATATTCTACATTTTCGACTTATTTTTTCACATTAAATAATCCCCTTCCCGGTTGTACTATGATTGCTGGCAGATCCTGTATAAAAGAGACACAAAACATGCAGTACAACACCTGTTATCTGGACAGTTTGATTCTACAAATGTTGGCTACCTAATTCTTGGTTATCCGGATATGCATCAGATACTCTCAGCATTAGAGACGTGAAAATAGCTTCACTTAAATAGTCGCGCGGACATTATCCTATTACCGATTTATCACGCGTTATTATTACATTTGTCTGGAGAATCGATGTTCTGCTGTGCTGTGTCGTGTAATCTAGTAACTAAATAATAATGTTGTTTCCGATACGGTGAAGGTGTAATATTTCTTCAAATAATAATCCTAACGCTGTGACTAATGGAAATTAATGTGTTATCATCGTTTCATGTACAACGGAAAAATAAAATATGTTCAATATACATCGACGAATGGAACAGTTATATGGAAATAATTTAACATATTATTTATGTAAACATTCATGTATTGCGTTATAATAAAAAAAATTAGTGGAGATAAAGAAGAAATTTAAAACTATTTATCGATCTGCTTCTCGACGTATTCTGTTTATCGGATTTACCAATTAAACTCATAAATCTCTTCGGGATTGCCCGAGGCACGGAATTATCGAAACAATGGCAAGAATGTGTCCTTAATGAGATAATAGAAGACGTATTTTATCACGAAAGGTATCACGATCTTATGGATTAAATTGTTATGTTGTGCTGCATATGAGTAATTTTCAATGATGTTAATTAATTCCAAAAGTCAAGGACACTTTATCGTTTCGCGGATTATTTCAATAGAGAAGCGATAGATCTTACGTTCTGAGGTTTTAATGCAAAACTTCCGCGCTGCGCGTTTCTAATTATGATTGCATCTTTGCGTCGTGTACTTTATCCTAACTGTCGCAAACGTCAAGAATTTCTAATTAATACGAGCATTGATTTCGATGTAGATCTCTGAGAACACTGGAAACGAATAATTTCAAAAAACTTATTAATTGGACTCTGTGGTAAAGGCTTCGTTTACAAAATTTCTGAACTGTTCTATTATCTTGCGTCGTAGTAATTATCCTATAAATTGTAAATTCTGAAGGATCGCGATTAGGCCGTAAGAATTAAGCGTCGGTTTGTCTCTAAAAGGCATCTCGAGGAGCCAGCGTGCAATCCATCATGGATTAAGATAAGATTCATCGCGTAAAGCCAGATGCACATATTTGAGATTCAGCGAATGCTGAATATGCGGGGATTGTCCGCGTAAATATAGTGGTTTATATCTTTAAAGCTGTCAAGCAACCGCGCCGTAAATAATAAACATATAATCGAAAAGCGCCGCGTTAGCAAAGCGACTTTTAAGCGAGGCTTGCGTATAAAAGGCCCGGTAATTTTCTTAAATAAATATCTTCCATTCTTTTACAAATATTAATAATTGATGTTGCGTTTTTTCTATCGATGTACCGTTTGAGAACTGTCCTCGTCGATCGACGAAATTTCTTCGCGACTCCGAGAAGCATAGAGCGTCGTTATAGCGAAGCTTCCGGTGTTTTAATATCGGAGTCCCTCCTCATTAGTAAAATTTAATGACTTACCCGGTCGTCTCGCGGTAAATTCTCGACGAGTTTCCGGAGATTACTCTCTTGGAAGTATAATTACTCCGTTGGAACAAGAAGCGTCTTTATAAGTTATGTGGACCGTGTTGCGACGCGTCCCGATATTACGTATTTGCGAATCAATGGGCTTTTTGATAGCTTGCGGCACAATAAAACCTTTCTTCGTCTCCTGTTTTGTTCCCTTTCACCCTGGAAGCTTGATCAATCTTCGAACATTGGCGCGTCAGTCCGCGGCGGTTATTTTTCTGGGTCACGTAATACTTTCTTTACGCTTTGCGACCAAGTTTGCGTGCCGCCATCAATACCGATTCCAACATGTCTCGTGCGAATCGTGTTACGTTGCCATTATACAGACAGTTAGAAAGGTAGTTCCAGTTAACGATTGTTGGAACAGCGTATAATTGCTCCTTGTTTGATTTTCATCTTGAAAATTGGTAATGAAAGCGTGGTCGATTATGGTAATTTTTTCCAGTCTGTTTGGCAAGTTAAGCTTGTTTCGGAGCAACGGCTCGTGCACGAAGTTAACACGTTCACTGCCACGATGCCGTCTCGATGCCACTGTTCGTATTTTTCACGAACAAATCATTCTTTTACCGTTCTCTCGAACGCTCATCCATTATTTAAGAGTAAGCGAGAGTTAACACGTCAAGAACTTAAAAATGTTCAATAATATAACAATCATGATAATAGAAAAGGCAGTCGCGACTCTTTTACAGATGCTTGTACGTGCCTGAAAGTGTTTTTGTTACAAACGTGACAAAATTTATAAGTAATGTTGGGACGGTAGACGTGACTCATTCCAGCCACGCGAATATTTCAGCCGAGCCGAGTATTCGAATACCTTCGTTACACGCGTGGTTCGAAGAAATCGAGTGCTTTCCACTTGTGACCGTCGATACACAATTGTACAGCTTTTATCAATAATGGAAAAGTTTTTGTTCGATTCGAACGTACAAAAACCTAGACCAGAAGTCTTCTACCTGCTGTGGAGATTTTCAGTTAGAATATTTTAGGGAGTGTACGGAAAGTGCAAATTGTTCCTCGTGGCAAAAATGAGTTCTACGCGGGCTGCTCTTATTCTATTCGTTCCGTGGCTTTGTTCGCGGCGTGTCGTTACTTTTACCGTGGAAAAAAGTGTGTCCGTTTGCTTCGTAAACGCGTGCGGACCGTGTGTAACGCGGTAACGCCAGATGGAAAACGACGGGTCACGGTACAGTAACGTGTACTGTTAAAGAGAAACACACCAGAGCAAATCTGTCGAGCGTGCTCTTTGCTCCCGGGCTTCTTCTCTTCTTTTTCTCTACCAGCTGCGTCTTCCCTCGCGTGCCGGGGATATTAATAGTACCCGGTTACGAGACATCGGCGCGAATAAGCTTTGCATAAATTACGCAAAAACGGGTGGCCCGGTGGCTCGACGAAAATTTTCGTCGCCCATCGCGTACGCGATCTACCTACGCCCGTTTAACATAAATTCACGCTGCCTCGTCGACGACGCATAATCGTCGACGACCCGCCGGAAATACACGGCACCTTTCATCGATCCGATTTTCCGAACGACTACTTTCCTCGCCGGGAAATCGTTTTCGGTTCACCGTGTCGTTTCGAACCGCTACCTGAACGCAGGATGCAGGCATTCGGCGCTCTTGGTCTCATTGTTCGGGCTTTTACGACTAACAGGGGTACAATAGATCCCCGTGTATCTATTTTGGAACACCCATTGTGTTCCGACCTTCCTGTTGTACGAAAGTCTCCGAGATAATTTAATTTGAAAATTTGCTGAATTTCTGTGCCCCGTCTGTCCACCGTTCACTGTTTCTACTGTCCTCACTTTAGCGATATTAAACTAGAGTAGGGATCTAGGTACCAATCAGACCCGCATTTTCACGGACGCACAGTACCTACGAAGTTCAACCGGTGCTCTATAAATTTTCTCGAAACAAATATAACAAGTACGGTATATCAAAAGGAAAACGGAAAAATTCTATCAAAAGCATCTTGATAACGCTCGAAAGAATTAATTTTCTACACTTCGTGCCTCTATAAATAAGTACAAATGGGTTTCGTTTCGAACAATTTCGAGTGTATCGCGCGTTACGTAGAAACTCCGCACGCTTACGAAAGCGACAGCGGCGAGTAAATCTTCTCGGCGAATAATCGCATCGAATCGCATAAAAAGCTAGCGTGAAAACACTCGTGTTTTCTGCGATGATTTCGAGTGGAATTCGCTCGATGGAATAAACCGCGCCGTTAGTCGCGTTGTAACGGTATTCTTGTTCCCGATTACTATAATTGAGACAAGTCTCTACCGTGATAACGCGTACGAGTTGATAACTTTTAATTACCGTCAATTACGGATTCAATTAGTTCGCGCGGCGTTACAAGTTTATCCTTTATCCGGCCGCGGATCGGACCTCGCGTCTCGCAGCGTTCGTTTGTCGCTTCGTCTCGATGCTTAGGCGCTGCCATTACGATTTTCTCCTTTATATTTTTCTTTCTCGTTGGTTGATATCTTTAGACGCGAGGAACGGGCGGGGCGCCTTGTGGTTTTCCTCGGAGGGGTAGGAAACGAGAGTCTCGAACCTCGTGGGACGCGCGTACCGTGTACGTGTACGATTTTCACGCTCGATATTCGCGACGGTTTGTTTCTCGTTCTCATAATTGATCCATGGGCCCCCCGAAATTGATCAATTTCCTCGCGAGACGACTATCGAGTTACGCGGGAACCAATTCCATCGTGAAAATTCATTTTACGAACGAATAGGCGGATTTCGTAACGCGAATCGTCGCTAAGGACAATTTTCCTAGCTTTGTACAGTAATTTGCAGAAGATGGAGAATAGATAATGCCCCTCTCACGACAAAATTTTTCCGATGTTCGTTGAAATATAAAATCCAAATGCAACTGTTTTATTCGCGTCGATTATTCATATAAGGAAAGTCCTTAACATCTGCAAAATCCCACACCGAGGTTAAGAATAAAACAATGAAACAGGAAAAGGGAATAAGTTACTTCTTTGCTGATTGTAGCTTCGACAATAGTACGAGATGTGTTCG